AAAGAAAAAAAGCTTCTGAGAGAGAACATCTTCAGAGAAGAAGACCCTAGAGAGAGAAAGTATCTAGAAGAAAGTAAAGAGCCCAAGAAAGGTTATTTCTTGAAAGATCCTAAAGAGAGAAAGTATCTAGAAGAAAGTAGAGAGCCCAAAAAAGATTGTTTCTTGGAAGACCATGGTAACCTATGAAATTTATCATAGATTTGATCATCACTTATTTTTTTGGCAACTTAATATTGTTCAAATTTCAGCTGCTTTGTGTCAAAGCATCTTGAGTTACACAAAGCATCTTGAGTTTGAGGGGGAGTGTTAGGATATGGATATCTCGGTTCATATTGATATACATCATTATAGATGTATCGATATATATCTTTTGATAAGGTTAGATATCTAGAAGATAGATATCAAGTTACTCATCAAGTTATCATATCATAATTATCTTCTCTAATAATATGATTGTTCTCTATATATAGAGGTATTTATTGATGTAAACCTTCATCCAAAATAGTGAAGATGTAGTCTGTTGGGCTTTGGATCCGTAGACGTAAGGCTTCGGTCTGAACCACGTAATGTTGTGTTCTCTTCATTCTCCATTCAATGTTTGTGCATGTTCTTTCCATTCTCCCTTCAATGTACGTGCATGTATGCTCCCACGAATTCTAAGAGTAACCCTACTCGACCGAGTTTTCAGTCGTCACTGCTTTGAATATATATATATGCTCGAAATGTACCTCCATAAGAGGTAATGCCTTTTGGTGGATCAAAAACCATGGAATAGTTTGTGCCCCAGTACTCCACTGAATTACTTGTGTTAGTCTATTTCTACCATGATCATTTGAGTGAAGATATGAGTTATGTAGAAGACTGAATGGACGTTTTTTCCTTATACAAATAGTGAGAGCAGGTTGTATAAGCTTAACTAAAACATTAATATAGAGGCAAAGAAAAAGGAGGTTTAACAGCTGTCTCCCCAATTGGTCCCAATCTACATACTGCACATAATAAATTTCTTAGGATATACGTTTATGTCAATATTGGGTGATAATGGCCTCATTTTATTTGATTCAACATCAAGTTTATATTTTCTTTGGCCCCCTTTCAAACTTGGAAGCTGTCTTTATGCTATATAGTCCTATTGAATAAGGTTTTCTTAGATATATATATTTTGTGGGCCCTAAGTCCTATCAAAGAAGTGGAACTTATTGCATATTGTGTGTGTGCATGCATTCATAACTGTTTTATTACTCATTAGGCTAAGGTCGTTCATGAGCTTAATGCTCTGCCAAGTTGTGATTCATAATTTTGATGGAGCAGCGTTTGAAGTCTTGATTCCTAAATCTTGTGATGGGTAATGCCCAACAAATTTGTCAAAATTGTTTGAAGTAACTAAAAGGGTTATGAAAAAAACAGCAAGATATATCTAATATCCCAAGTAAGGGTTTGACTTCAAAATTGTTTGAAGTAACTAAAGGGGTTATGAATTGCCAGCCTCTAGCGGTGGCAATCGGGTCGGATCGACCAGCCCACCTTTCGGATCAATTTGAATCGGTCCTAGGACCCATTGACACCCCCTACCCGCCTGCTTCCCAGGGCCTAACTCCATCTGTTCTTGCTTCCTTATATAGAACCTCTCAATCCGCTTGCTGTACTCACAACTTTTTGGGCTTTCCAGAAATTCCATAGTTCAACCCGATTTTAAACTTGTCTAGCCTAGCCCTTATTCTATTCTAATAAGGGTGGGGTTTGTATAATGTTGCCTCTTTATAATATAGAAGGCACACCTCTATAATTACTTAGAGATGTGGTTTCGGGTGTCGAACACCTTGTGATGGCTTAAAGATCTATTTATCTTTAGATATAAAATATAAAAGGGCGGTGTTACGCTAAACCATGTGGGGTGTAAACACATATCCTGCCCAACAAAAAGTTGACCACAATATAAAAAAGGCCTAATATTTTATGGGTGCGGTTTGTAGAGAGTTGAGGCTCTAAACAATCAAAGTAGAGCGTACAGGCTCTAAACAATCAAAGTAGAGCGCACCTTCACATAGTAACGAGAAATGTGGTTTCAATATTGGAAATCTTTGTGATAGTCTTAAAATATATTTTCATCTTTTAATTATAAAATTTAAAGCTTCAAACATAGTGTAGATCTATGAAAACTTTAAAATCTTAAAAATTGACGGTCCAAAATGTGTTACAAGATGCACTATTTCAAAAACTTAAAATCCATTTTTTCTCATGTTCATACATCTTGATGTCGAGATGATCAATTTGAGGATGAAACCGGGTAGGTAGGTCCCGACCCAGTTGCCCTAAAATCCCCATTTTCATTTTTATTTTTATTTTCTCTTCTTTTTTTAAGCTTATCTAATGTTGTACTTGGTCCCCGTAAATCCCCAACCCCTAAATATCTGTTGTATTTTTTATTTTTTATTTTTTTTATATTACTAATCCAAACAATCTAAGAATGATCCAGATCTCCAATCTTGCCAATCAGAATGGAGTTCATGAGTGGACAAACAGGCACACCGATGTATTTTTTAAAACATGTTAGTACTATATACACCTTTTGCTCTAAAAATAACATTGCACCATTAAATCCCCCTCTCTCTCTCCGGTTTTCCATTGTTACCGGTTCTTTGGATCGCATGGTTTGACATTAAAACGGTGTCCCAATCACATAACAATTTGATAAGAACAACTTCGTTACTTATAAATAAAAGACAACATAAGATTTTTGTTTTCGGTGCTTCAATTGCTTTTGAATCGACCTCTCCATGTTGCGCACTCAAAAATACCATCCATATATATGCGAAAATACGTTTCAGAATTGTATACTACGAGACCATTTATTTTTACCTCTCCATGTTGTGGATCAAATTCACAAAGTGACACAAAATTGGATGGGTCGCGCCAACTGGTTTTCAAAAAAATTGTTTAGATCCACAAATCACTTATCTAGATTGGCGATTGGATTGATTTTCTGATGTGAGAATCGGTCCATTAAAATAAAAATAAAATTGAAATTTTAAAAAATAATAAAATTGTGTTGGAATCCGAATCGCTCGCTTCCTTTATTGACAGAACTAGGAGAGTCCACTTGAGTCTGTTGCTACGATTCTCAGTTCGGATTCACACTTTCCGATCCGAATTTTAAAATCACTGCCCCAAGCTAACACAAAAATTATAATGTTACAAGTGGAGAGCCAAATCACAAATAACATGTGTGCAAATATGACATTATTTAGAGCAATCCATTACATTATCTGATAAAAAACCAAACAAATTGGACTAAACCTAAAACCATGACATGATTTAGATTACATAAGAAGTACAAACGAAAAAACAAAAACTGATAACATTCAAGGAAAAAAGAAGAGTAATCTACGTACGGACCTTAAAGTTTTAGGTAAAATAGAAAATGCTCCACTTATATGCATAAATTACAAAGAAGGTAGCTCAACTCTCTATTTTTTTTTATTTTTTTGGAAAATCCAAATTTTGATTTATTTGTTTTTTAGTTTTTTTTAGTAAGGCAGTGCCCCAAGCTTTACATCACTGCCCCACTGACGAAAAAGCTAAAAAAAATTAAAATTTAAGTTGACCGAGAGGAGGTTTTGGAAAGAATAAAAAATTAAGTTGACCGACCTTTGTAATGCATATTACCAAAAATTTAAGGGTCCATAAGTGAATCTCTCAAGAAAGAAAGAAGCAAACTTCACAAAAAAAAATAAAAAAATAAAAATAAAAATAAAAAAGAAGAAGAAGAAGAGATACCTATACACAATCACGTTTGTGCATGGCCAGCTCAAAGCTAGAGAATGAGAGATGAAGCTTATGCCAAACACGGAGGAGAAGGTAATAACTCAAATATTTGAATGAAGCCCTACATCATATCGACACGAGTGGGATGTGACTTATTTTGTAATAGTCTTCTCCTTTGCATGGCTGGAGCCTTTTCTTGAAATCAGGTGGCATCCATTTACAGTGCAAGTGACGGAGGGCATGGAGGTGTTGAAACCCTTGAGGAAGCATCTTCAGTTTTGGGCAATTAGAAACTTTCAGGTAAGAAAGGCAAGGGATGGATCCCTCCTCTATCTCCCCCCACTCCTCCCAATCATAAAACCATTGGATAAGGAGTATTTTGAGTGATGGAAAAGATCCCCTACTACAAACTCCAATTCTTCTACCTCTGTATGCACCATACATGCGAAGGTAGGATAGGTTAGGAAGGGATCGGAGAGCAACAATGGGGTCATCACTTAACCTACTATTCAGCAAGGTTAACTTGGTGAGGCGACTGTGGGATAAACCATCACCAGAATACTTTGCAGCCGCATTTCTAATCGTAGGGACAATAGAGCTGGAGGAAGCTGCAAAATTGGTGGATCTGTAGAAGAAAACAGATCCATCTTAAAGGTCAAAGATGTGAGTTGGGGCATCTTGTTTGTTGACGCATAAAATAATTCATAGCAGGAGGAATGCATTTCCCATAAGACTTTTAACTTGCGCAGTCTGATCAGGTGAACGAGTTCCTTAACCAAAAGCTCATTGTTTAGTGTTATAAGACCGAGAGTGCGTAAATTTTGCAGGCTTCTGATTGCGTTGGGTTGCACAATAATGCCTCCAATGGGGCAAATTACATTCGCATGCTGCAGTTCTTGCAACTTTGGTAACTTTTCAGGAAGCTTTATTTCCACATTTATAACTTCTTCACTTTTTTGTATGCCAATATGCCTCAAATGTACTGAAACATCTCTCAATTCAATCAATTCAATCGTTCTCGGACGATTCCGGAAAACAGCCAAATGCAATACTCTCAATTTCCTCGAGTTATAAGTTAGTGGTTCCATATACGAGAGTGTTTCTTCTTCACTGAATGAAAAGCACAAGACAGCGAACTCGTAGATACTCTTTATTCTGAAGAACTTTCCAAGGATTACCGACCATAAAGAAGCGACGAGTTCCTTGACGGCACGAATTCACCCACCCCACCATAGAATTCACCCGATATCTCTTCCTTTTGACGGCACGAATTCACCCACCCCACCATAGAATTCACCCGATATCTCTTCCTTAGCAATTGGGATTGCAAACTCCCGTACAACATCATGAACTCCGCAGGAAGAGATATGTTCAGCTTGGTCACCAACCACTAGCAGCATGCTTCTGTCAATTAGCTCTTTAAAGTATTCATCAGCCACATCCAATGTGAATTTCCCAGGCCTGTTGTCAACAAACCCTTCGGCTACCCATAGTCTTAAAAGTCCATTCTTTTTAATCTCATAATCCTCTGGAAATAAACAACAATACAAGAAACATGACTTGAGATGTACAGGGAGATCACTGTAACTAAGTAAAAGGACACGAGAGACTTTACCACCACCTTCACGGACCTCCCATTCCGAATCTTCAAGAATCCTCCTCCATTCGATATGTGTGAATGGCTTCCTTGACATGATGCCTCCCATGACGACGATGGCCAAGGGGAGGCCATCGCATCTTGACACAAGGCTTTTTGCCAAATCTTCAAGCTCATTGGGACACCTTCTTCCTGCCCTATTTCGAAATGCCTTCTTACAGAAAAGATCAAAAGCGTAAGTTTCCTTCTGTGGCTCAACAAAGTGGGTGTGTTGCTCTATGTCTACCATGGCGGCAACACGGCTATCACGCGTTGAGATTATTATTCTACTTTGTTTTTCGTTCTCTGGCAAAGCAGAATTGATGAGATTCCATACTCTGCCATGCCAAACATCATCAAAAACTACCAGAAAACTTTTCTCCTTCACATGATTGTTGAGATCGTTCAATAGTCGAGACTCAACTTCTCTCTCAGTTTCACCTGATCTCCCTTCGCCACTTCTTGCCCCCCCCCCCCAAATTCATTGAGAATACGTTCAAGTATGTCCGCAATCCTAAAGGATTGCGACACAGTGACCCATGCACAATAGGAAAAACTGCTCTTCATGGAATTATAAACTCTCTTTGCAAGAGTGGTTTTCCCCACTCCACCCATCCCTACCAATGAAAGCACTTGACGTTTTGGGTTTTGATTTAATAACCAAGACTTTATTTCACTTACCGGCTTGTCGATCGCCGTGATACCATCTTCCTCCATGGAAGAAAAAGTGAGACGTGGATCTTGCCAATGTTCGATTGAATCATTTGAGGATGCTCCTTCTTCTCGTTCCGCTTCCAACTGGTACCTCGACCTCCCATCAGAAATTTCTTGAACCCTCCTCCTAATGCTCTGCATCTCAGTCGCGAACTTATGATGGACAATCAATTTCTTGGCAAATTTCAAGCAACGATTTTGTCCACCACGTTGCTGTAATTCTTCATCTGAATGTTGAACCCATCGAGGATATCATCAGCATCGTAGGAAACCTCTCTAACACATCTCACCCAATCTTTGAGTTTCTCATCTCTGGCTTTTTTTTTATCAGCACTTTGCAGGAACACTTTTATTCTCTGGAGCTCGTCTCTAATCCAAACAGGGTCTTTGCGCACTCCGCAGAGGAGCTGAGCTTCCGACGCGATAAAATCATTCAACCTTTCCAAGAGAAATGCTACAACAACCTGTGCCATCCCTTTGCTCCCCAAAAACTAGACTCTCGAGTGCTTGTGGTTAGCTTTTGTGTGTTTGCAATGAGAAGAATCTATAGTCTGTTTTCGTTTGGGAAGCAAAGAATGTGAAGGTGGCTATGCACACTACTTAGAAAGCGCAAGCTTTCTATGCCTCCCCTACAGCATAAAATTTATATACTTACCCTTATCTAACCGTCCATTCTGAATGGAAGGTTAAAATTGTCCCAATCACAATATCTTTACACTATTTTATTTTTAATTTTTTTGCTATAAACTATTTTGACACCAAATTTTAAACATACAATCCTTTATTAAACTCGCACTAATGAGAAATATTAAAATATTTCTAATCAAATAAAATAACCAAAATACCCCTAAAAATTTTAAGGGGTATTTTTAGTTATTATATTTTATTTAAAAAATATTTTTAATATTTTTTATAGGTGCACGCCAATGAGAAGATGGCACGTACCAAATTTCATATTCATACAATTTGTATAAAAAAAACTAAAAATAAAATATTTTGAGATGTCTGATCTAAAAATCAAAACTCTCTTGATCAAAATTGGACGGCTGGATGGTAGGGAAGCATAAATCTTCTATGCTGTAAGGGCAGTATAGAAACCTTTCCCCCTCCTAGAAAAAAGTCTTTGAAAGGGGGAATGGTCATCCATTTAGTTTAAACTGTCGCATTTGTGGTACATTAACTGGTTAACAATTGCATTATTGAGAAAGAGAGAGACCAGTCGTTTACACCCAGTTATTAACAATTGCATTTCTGGTAGATTGAATTATTAACAATTCCAACCATTGTGTTGTTTTCAATGGAAATAGGGAAGAAGCTTCGCATTTGAGGATTTTTCATCTAATATTACCAAAATGCCACTTATGCTAAACTAATTAAAAAAAGAAAAGAAAATACAAGACAGTTTGATTTGGGCTGCTTCGGTCATATTTGGGTCTGTTTCGAGTTTGCTTCGGGTCTACTTTGGCCAGCAAAAAAATAGCTATAAAAATAGTTTTTTTTTTATTGTTTTCATTAATTGTATATGAAAGAGACCAGGTCCTCACACACCAGCAATTACCAATTGCATTTCAGGTAGATTGAATTATTAACAATTCAATATCATTATGTTGTTATCAAATGGAGATGGGAAGAAGCTTCGTAATTGAGTATTTTTCAGTTCACCGAATCTTACCAAAATGCGACTTATGCTAAACCAATTAAAAAAAGAAAAGATAAGATAAGAAAGCCTGCCGCTTCTGTAGATTCAGGCTGCTTCAATCACCGCTTCTGCTAGCAAAGAAATGGCTATATAAAAGCATTTTTTATTTTTTATTTTTTATTTTAAATTTTGTATTATTTGTATATACTTTATATATAACTATCTAATTTATTTATACTAAATTAAAAAAAATCTGAAACCTTCTTCAAAATTGCTTCATTTTTTTCACCAAACACAAAAAGACTCTGAAGCAGACAACAATGATGTAAACAGATGAGCAGGAGACTCATCCAAACCTTACCCATATTTTACTCCCCATAAAGTTCATCTAGTATGACCTAGAGATATTTTTGTTATTTTACGATAGAAAATCACATTAATAAATAATTAATTTTTTTATTTTACCGTAGAAAGTCACATTAATAAATAATGGTTTTTTGAAACCACATTTCTCGATACTATTTTGGTCAATTTATTTTTTACAAATTATTTTTTTCATATTTTTATTAGATTCTCCTATTTTTAAAACACACACGCCTAAAATTTTAAATTATTTGAATTTGTAGAAAACAAATTAAAATTTAAATATGAAATAAGGTCGTGACCATCAAATCGGCCCAAACTCAATCTGAGTTGTTGGACTCGTATATTCATATGAGCTAATATGCTAATCTCAGTATTTTCC